GAGCCCTTTGAAGTTTTCCTTCATCTTCGTATTATGTGTGTTGTGTGTTTTAAAATTTAATTCTTTTGGTATCATTTTTTTCTGTGAGATTATCTGTGTTTACATGTGTTTTTCATCTTTTCCAATAGAGCCTTTAACATATTAATCATAGTTATTTTAAATTCTCTGTCTAGTAATTATACAAGTCATATCTGAATCTGGTTCTGTTGATTGCCTTATCTCTTATCAATGGGTTATTTTCTTGCTCTTTCATGTATCATAATTTTTTGTTGAAAGCTAGATATTATGTGTAGATTAGTAGAGTGAGATAAATATTATTTATGTATGGAAATGGACAGACCTTTTTTTTAGGTCTTTAATGTAGGGGGGGATTACGTCATTTTTGTCAGGAGTTTAGCTGTATTTGTTTATCCTCCAGGCACCATTAGCTTCAAATTCATCTAGCATTTCTTTGTCTTTGGTAGAGTATTGATGGTCAGAGGATTTTTCTCATTGTTCATGTTCCACCCTCTATTTCAGGCTTTCCTAGCGTGCCTGTGACTCAAAGAGGCTTTCTCCTCATTTTAACTCTCCCCCAGTAATATACTGCTGTTATTTGTCACTTGGCTTTTGCTAATCTGGTGCCAGGGGCAGGGAGGGGAAAAGAAAAGAGACTTTTTCCATTGTTCTAATTTAGTTTCAGGCTGGTCTTAGGCTTATCCTGTGTCCATGGTTTTCAGCAATGGGGCTTCCTAAGTCATCCTGTCAACTCCTCTCAGGAATTTTTTTCTGTTTCCTTGCCGCAGCTGCAGTGGGTCTTCACCTATGCTTCAGATGTGACAGGATTTGCCATACTTCCCCAAGAGGCTTAAGTCGGTTTTTTTTTTGTTTTTTTTTTTAGGGGAAATGGGAGAAAAAGATCCAGACAGGATTTTATGCCTTCTCCCTGGTGGCAGCTGTGCCCCTCTCCCAGACCCATGCCACTGAGGGGAAGTTTTCTTTCATCTCCTGTCCTATCCCCAGTTTTTCTTGTGACCCTCTGATAAGGTCCTTGGAAAAGAGCTTGCAAGTGGTTGCAAACTCCCTGAGCATCTGTAGCTTCAGAGTTCTACAGTCTCAGGCTACTTCACATTTGGCCTTTAGCTACTTGTTTAAAAGTTTTTATGCAGTCTTCCTACTGACTTCTGTGGCAGCTCTCTTTCTCTCCAGTGCTCTGCTCCATATAAACCAGTGCTCATGACCCTTATCTCCTTGGGGGTGCCTATTTTCCTTATATTTCAGGCCAGTTGATTTCCGTGCAACCTCAGCTCTCTGATTTTTTTTTTTGCTTTTTTAAGTTATGATTTTGTATTTGGATTTTTCTTGCAGTTAGAGTGGGAACCATATCCTTTCCAGATTTTTACATCCTTAGAGGAAGTTTGAGATTCTGCTTACTTTTCTTAATCACTAATGCCTCTATCTGACTAATTGCATGGCATTTTAGTTAATCTGACTACTTCTGTTTTCGCCTTCTTCCAATATATTCTCTACTTTGTAGTCAGAATGACAGTTTTTAAAGAGCTTCTCGAATGCTATATTTTCCATGTCACTTTGGGACCTTTGTACACTGCTGTTTTTTCCATGTAGACAGCTCTTTCCTCTGCCTCTTCAATTAACGTTAGCTAATTTCTGTTCATCCAGTACGTTGTTCTTCCTCAGAGAAGCCTTCCTTGACAGCTCCTCACACTGAGATTATATCAGGTTTACTCCTTATATTCTTTCATGGTACTCTGTTTATTTCTCACATATAATATCACAATTTATACAGTTACAATTAGATAACTGTATAATTGTGTGTGAGACGGTTGTTTTGGTTTTTTAACTGTATTTCATGCTCTCTAGAATATAAGCTCCATGAAGACAGGAACCATTTCTTTCTTGTTCACCAAAATATACCCAGGGCTTAAATTAAGAAATATTTGTCGAATGGATAAATAAATAAAGCTGGAAAAGAAGTTATACACTGTAATCAAAGAAGCTACTGTAAGAATTACAGTTTTACATAAATGTGACAAATATTTGTCCCTGGCCTCTGTGGAAATTATTGTGTGAAGTTAACGAATGAATCCTGCAGCCTGCTTGGAAGACTAAACTAAGAGAAAGGGAGAACCAAAGTTAAAGAGTCTTTGGAGATGGACTTGTACTTTTTAATAAAGAGCTCTAGGATATGACTGCAGTGTGGCCATGGAGTATAGATACAGGTCTGAAGGAAAAATTGTTGTTGGTTTGTCAATTTACCATTTTAAAAAAATTGTTTACTCCTTGGCATGGAATGAAAGGAAAAAAATATATTGAGGCCTCAATTATTAATGTAATTTTTATGAGGTCAGTGAAAATTTGCAATAAAGATATGGGAAGGGTGGTATAAATAAATGCTTTAGACCTCCCATAAAAGAAAAAGTAGAGCAAGGTTATTCATAAATATTTTGGTAATGAACAAGAAAAATATGTAGTTATATAGAATTTCTCTCCTTTTTTGGCCATTTCTTTGTAACAATGATGTGAGATATTTTTATAACCAAATTTTTCTGATTATTACTTTAAGAAATGTGAGTACAGGGCTTACACTACCAAGTAAGTGCTGTCCTCTGATTTCTCATCCTAAAACAAGCTCTCCTGAGGCAATTTCATAATCTTCTAGAGTGGGGATCAACAATCTTTTTCTGTAGGTGGCTAGAATAATCTGTATTTTAGGCCTGCCCTTCATATGGGCTCTTTTGCAACTACTCATCTCTGCTGTGTAGCATGATAGCGGCCATAGACAGTCTATAAACAAATGAACGTGGCTGTGTTCCAATAAAACTTACGAAAACTGAAATTTGAATTTCAAATAATTTTCATGTGTCATGAAATATTTTTCTTTTTTTTTCAAACATTTAAAAGTATAGAAGTCAGAAACCACTTTTAGCTCTTGGGTTGTATGAAAACAGATGGCAAGCCAGATTAGACCCACTAGCCCTAGTTCGCTGATCCCGGTTCTAGAGTTTGAACTATTACTCATAGCCCAGCTTCTCTTCTTATTTTTGAAGATTTCCAAAATCCACTGAATATCATCTCAAATTAAACATGACAAAACTTTTAGTAATTTTTTGCCCTCCTTGTCCTACACCTGTTTTTCAATGTAAAGATCTTAGTTAATGGCACCTACATCCACCTTATTGACTATGCAGAAAAGGAACCTGAGATTGCTCTCCTATAGGCCGTCTTTCAAGATTGGCCCTGGGCTGGTGTCTAGAAACTTGGACTCAGGAGTGTTCTCACTGTTTCCTAACTAATACGTGTAGTTTACTCTTTACACAAGCAATGTGGTTTAAGCTAAACATCTGCTTTCCTTCTCAGGGTTTGGAATTTTCTTTTGTGCTAGGCAGAGGTTTCCTATGTGACCAGCCCCGAATAAAAACCTTGGGCATCGAGCCTCAGTCTCAATTCAGTGCTGGAGCATGTTCTGTGTGATTCTATGAGGAGAGGGTTCTAAGAAGCTTACACCTGGCTTCTTTCAGACTTTGCCTCCATGTGCCTTTTCCCTTTTCTGATTTTACTTTGCATCCTTTTATTGTAATAAATCATAACCATGAATATGACTATATGTTGAGTGCTGTGAGTCCTCCTAGCAAATCGCAGGACCTGGTGGTGGTCTTGGGGATCCCCAACACACACTGACCAAGCCAAAAGCCTGAAAGTCACCTTCAAAGCTTCCTTTTCACTTCACATTCAAATGCTTTGACCATATCTTCTAAACACCTCTCAAATTATTTTTTCCTCTTCAACATCTTTGTCCTTTCTTTGATTCAGACCTTAATCACGTTTCACCTGTCTAAGGTAATATATTCTTGTGCCTGCCTTCAGTCTCTACCTATTCCAGTCTGTCCTATACAGTGCCCCTTATTTTCACATTTTTGTGTATGTTTGTATGTATGTATGTTGGGTGTGTATGAATACATATATATGTGTGTGTGTATTATATTTATCTTTATATTTATCTTTGTTCTAGTCTGACCACATCACCCTCTGGACTTAAAATCATTCAAGGCACTCTACTGCCTAAGGAATAATGTTAAACTTCTTAGCAGAGCATTAAAAGCTTTTTGTGATCTGTCCAACGTCTGTCTGTATAGGCTTCTGCCACTTCCCAACATATACTTTATACTATGGCTATATCAAAGCACTTGCAGTGCCTCAGACCAGCTCTTTTATGCATAAATGCCTATCCACTGTTTTTTTCTTCTATTTGGATTACCAGTGTCTTTACCAGAGAGCAAATTATTACACATTGTTTAGAACTTTGTTCTGAATTTAGTCTTTTCTGTTCTTCTAGGTAGCTTGTAGTTCCTTCCACGTTGTTTCTAGAGCACGTCATGCATTCCACTTTTATCATATTGTATTTAAATTATTTGTTTTATTTCTCTGCTGTGTTTTTAGACTGGAATCCTTAAAAGCCAAGACAGAATCTTGTTTAATCTAGCACAGGGTCTGGCACTTAGTAGGTGGAGTCCATAATGTGCTTTCAAGAACCCAAAGTAATTTGTCTTCCAGTTGATGCTATGAAATGAGGGAAGGAAGGGATGAACTGGAAATATATATTTCCTCCTGAGAAGTTTGGTTTCAGAGGGGCTTCCCTGGTGGCGCAGTGGTTGAGAGTCCGCTTGCCGATGCAGGGGACACGGGTTCGTGCCCCGGTCTGGGAGGATCCCACGTGCCGCGGAGCGGCTGGGCCCGTGAGCCATGGCCACTGAGCCTGCGCGTCCGGAGCCTGTGCTCCACAACGGGAGAGGCCCCAACAGTGAGAGGCCCGTGTACCACAAAAAAAAAAAAAGTTTGGTTTCAAAGTTTACAGATTAAAATGAGAGTAAATAAGTTAACACATGTTACTTATAAAAAATATATACATGAGGGTAAAAACAATGAAAAAATAATTCTTTGTAATCTTTTTTGTTGTATTGTGCAATAGAGCCTGACTGCATTTGTATTATTACTTTACATAGGTGGAAATGGATATTGTTGAAAAACTGGTAAAAATGATACCTTGTGAGCATGAAGATCTGCTGAATATCACCCTCCGACTTCTACTGAACCTATCCTTTGACACAGGACTGAGGAATAAGATGGTACAAGTTGGGCTGCTTCCCAAACTCACTGCACTCTTAGGTATGCTTTTTAAAAATTAACGATAGTGTTGCTTGGAATTTCCAACATCACTAGAAAATTTAAGCCTGTCTTGAAAAGTCTGCTGAAAAAAAATCATTGTGTATATGTTCTTTGATTGGGTACCTAAATATAAGCAGAATGAATGAAAAATGACCTGTGCTAGGATTTCCATGGTGGTATAGAATGAAATGGAATAGGAACTTTTAGCTGTTTGACTTCATTTACCCCTGTGAAAATGAAACCAGAGTGAAAATATAAAAATACTACTATGGGAGCAAGAATGAAAAATTACTCTCTCTTCAGCATTTTTTTAAAAAGCAGATATTGTTTAAGTTCTTATATTCTGGCATACCTTTAAAATACTCCTTACCAATATACAAATTTATGGAGCCTTTTTGTCATCAAGTAAAAAAGGGCATTTTTATATAGTGTCAGAAAATATTATATTGGAGGATTCAGTTTATACATTATTTTCTTTCAGCTATTAGCAAGATATCTATATAGTGAGGATGGATTCAAGAACTAACTCTTCTGTGCTCATACATAATGCTTCTCATGCATAATGCTTCTTAGCAAAATATTTAAAAACACTTTTTGATCTGTTAAGTGTCTGTCTTCATAGGCACCTGCTACTCCCCAACATACACTTTATACTATGTCCATACTGATCCCCTTACTGTTCTCTAAACAAATTCTTTATGCCTCAGTGCCTGTCCACCTGCTTTTTTCCTCCACCTGGAATGCCATTGCTTTTCTTAACGAGAAAACAAAGTTTTACTTAGCTGTTAAGACTCTGTTTCTTTGTTTAGCACTGCAGCTTCATTCTTTTTTTTTTGTAGCTTTCTCCATATATTCAAATATTTTTAAGCAGTGGAATAGTTGGAATGATTTAAAATTAAGTTTATCCTTAGCTATCTAATACCTGCGAATACAGTCTAATTGACATCATCCTTTTTTTTTTACAATACTAGAAGTAAAATTTATTGAATGTTTACTGTGACAGTTATTTTGCTGTGTGCTCTGTTTACATTATCTTATAGAATCCCCGTCTGAGATCTTTACCCAGGATTACACAGTTAGATAAAAGACAAAGCTCAAATTCAAACTCAGGTACATCTGCTGCCAAAGTTGGATTTATTACCTACTATAATAAACTACTATGTATAATAATATTAAGTTAACTATGATTAAGATAGGCAGCACTATAACTTAAAATTTCAGTTCTCCAAGTCCCCTTAAAAAAAGTTTTAAGGAAATTTATTTCTTACTTTTTTTTCTCAGAAAAGGAAAACCTTTAGTCTATTAGTCAGTCTAAGAACATTTGGTCCATTGGCCAGTCCACAAATATTACACAGGAGTTTTATTACGCATTTTAGAAGAAACTCTATTGAGGAGCACTTTCAAAAACTGCTTTTGGGGAACCAAAGAAATACTAATATCTAGTGAGGAAACAGGAAAACTTTAAAGTAAACTTGGTGGGCCTTGAATTTAATTTATGTGATCCTTTATTTATCATAAATCTAGCAGAATTATATATCGAATATCAGGTTAGATTCTTAGTGTATGAAGATGATAAGCTAAAGTCCTTGTCCTGAAGCAATTCATAGTCTATTTGGTTTGTTCAGTATCCAGTCACCTACTTTAATGAAACAAATAATGTAAAAGAGATTTTTGGAAAATTACTCATAGGGTACTCATTTCATATTTTGTTAACAAGTAGTAAATTTTGGCATATAAGATATTCAATACAAAAAATATTTCTTTCATCTCTCCTAGAGTTCATTTCTGGAGTCAGACTGTCTTATTAGAATTGTCACTTTTTCCTTTTAAACATGTCACGTTGGGCAAGTTACCCAAACTCTGATTTGGTTTCCTCATCTGTAAAATGAAGATAATAATTATAACCAACTTAAGTTATTTTGAAGGTTAAATGAGCTATTGCATGAACGTGCTTAGACAGTACCTGACACATAATTTCTTAATAAGTGTTAGCTATAATCATATTTATTACTAACATCATCATTATCATTTAATGTGAAGCGGACGTTCTGTAAGTGTTGCTGACTTACCTTTCTCTGAGCACAAATATCCTTCTTATAGATATTAAATCGCTGTTAACAGACAAGGTAGCTTATTTATTTTTACTTCCCTGTGATATACGTGCAGTTTAATTCAGTTTAAGTCAGTAAAATGTTGCTAATCTACTATGGCAGAGCATAATGCTAAGCACTGTAGAGAAATATTTTTCAATCTGTAGATATATTGGAACTCAAAAGAGAGAATGTTTCCACATTGATACTTCATACATAAAGTGCCATTTGAGATGGACATTGACAGATTTGTCTTTTTAACAAGGTGATATTTACAAAGGAAGGAAGAATAGAGGCTGTAGAAAATATTTCAGATAAAATGATCAATATTACCTAAGGCATAGATGGCACTAGGCCAGTATGAGGAACAATAACTAAGAAAATAGTGGGAGATAAGTTTGAAAAAATGGGTTCGTATGCTTATGTGGCATTATGAAGTTTAAGGCTGTGCTAAGTGTTATACTTAATATAGTTGATGATAGTAATCATTGCAGGTTTTTGAGCTAGTTGGGTCATAATCAGAGTATTGCCCTAGGGAAATTAATCTGGCATCATTCTACTGGATGCACTAAAACTAGAGTCTAAAGAAGAGAACAGTAGCATGTTGTGTTAGCAGGACAAGAAGTAAAGAAAACCTGAATTAAGGAAGATGTGGTATGTCAGGTATGAGGCAAAAGGAAAGGGCAAAAGAGACATATCATAGGTAGACTTAATATGACATGGCTGCTGTTTGGATATGGATAATGGTAAAGAATTCATAAAAACTCAATGCCTGTTAGAATGTTAGTGCCAGGAACAGAAATAGAGAAGTGTAAAGGAAGTAATTTGAGGACATCAGTGATGGATTTAGTTTGAGATATGTTGGAGACATCTTAGACAAAGATGTTCAGTAAGCAGATGGAAACATAGGTCTAGAGCTCAGGAGAGGTAGGAGTTAAAAAAAGAGAAACTTGTCCAATAGATGAGTAAAACTGGAAATCGGAAACCACTAAGTGAGCTATAACAGTCAGAGAAATATGATTATTTTTCAACAGATACATAAAAAACACGTTAAATTTAGGCTGTTCCTGAGAAGCAGTGATGTTCTTGGAATTTTCATGCAGTAGAGAAATGAAGAAACTGAGTAGGAAGAGCAACTGAAAACTTTTTACTTCCTTTTCACTCATTCTGTCGAAGTCCTGCTTTATTATTTTCTTTGAAATATTATGAATTCCTAGGGCATTAGATTTTGCTACACTAGGGAGCGTAAAGAGCTAGTATTATTCTAACCTTACATTACATAGGTAGGAATGGATGAGATCTTAAAAGTTTCCACCTCTGTTCTTAGCTGATCTGTAAAAACTGATTGAAAGCAAAATAATTCAGTTGACATGTTTATGGTTAGCTTGCCTTAGTAACTTCTTGGCTTATCTTTCTATGGCAAGTAAAAGATGATGACTAAGTAGCATTCCTCATGAAAATATACACAAAAATTTTCGTAGAGAATAAATTGGAAAAAGAAAGAAAAGATATTGTGATTTGAATAATTATTAAAAGCAAAGAGGAAGTTGGTAACGGCTCGGCTCTTTTGCCATGTGAGGAACGAATATTCATTTATAAACTCATGAAAACTTTTCACTTATCTGAGAACTACTAAGTTGACTGTAAAATCATTCCTGTTTAGGTAAAGATTTAGTATGTCATACTCTTTTTTCCCCCCTCTCTTTTGTTGCCCACAGCCATTGAATTTGAATTTAAGCAGTTTGTTTTTTCAAATGTTCATTTTTCTTTTTTTAAACATCTTTATTGGGGTATAACTGCTTTATAATGTTGTGTTAGTTTCTGCTTTATAACAAAGTGAATCAGCTATACATATACATATATCCCCATATCTCTTGCCTCCTGTGTGTCCCTCCCATCCTCCCTATCCCACCCCTCTAGGTGGTCACAAAGCACCAAACTGATCTCCCTGTGCTATGCGGCTGCTTCCCATTAGCTATATATTTTACGTTTGGTAGTATATAGATGTCCATGCCACTCTCTTACTTTGTCACAGCTTACCTTTCCCCCTCACCATATACTCAAGTCCATTCTCTAGTAGGTCTGTGTCTTTATTCCTGTCTTACCCCTAGGTCCTTCAGAACCACTTTTTTTTTTTTATTCCACATACATGTGTTAGCATACAGTATTTGTTTTTCTCATTCTGACTTACTTCACTCTGTATAACAGACTCTAGGTCCATCCACCTCACTGCAAATAACTCAATTTCATTTCTTTTTATGGCCGAGTAATATTCCATTGTATATATATACCACATCTTCTTTATGCATTCATCTGTTGATGGACACTTAGGTTGCTTCCATGTCCGGGCTATTGTAAATTGAGCTGCAGTGAACATTGTGGTACATGACTCTTTTTGAATTATGGTTTTCTCAGCGTATATGCCCAGTAGTGGGATTGCTGGGTCATATGGTAGTTCTATTTTTAGTTTTTTAAGGAACCTCCATACTGTTTTCCATAGTGGTTGTATCAATTTACATTCCCACCAACAGTTCAGGAGGGTTGTCTTTTCTCCACACCCTCTCCAGCATTTATTGTTTGTAGATTTATTTGATGATGGCCATTCTGACTGGTATGAAGTATGAGGTATGAGGTGATACCTCACTGTAGTTTTGATTTGCATTTCTTTAATGATTAGTGAGGTAATGTGTTTGTTGGCAATCTGTATCTGTATCTTCTTTAGAGAAATGTCTATTTAGGTCTTCTGCCCATTTTTCGATTGGGTTGTTTGTTTTTTTGATATTGAGCTGCATGAGCTGCTTGTAAATTTTGGAGATTAATCCTTTGTCAGTTGCTTCATTTGCAAATATTTTCTCCCATTCTGAGGGTTGTCTTTTCATCTTGTTTATGGTTTCCTTTGCTGTGCAGAAG